GTCCAATTCATCCTCTCTTGATGTGAACATGTTGGTTAATTTCCTTGCATGAATTTGGGGGAATGTTTCATTGTATGTTCAGCCCCCTTTGGAATGCATGCACCAATTGTGAAATGTGACTCATAGGCTCCCTTCATGCACTTGGATTTGATGAATCAGTTTGAAAAATAATGCATCCATCTCCCTTGAATGTGAACAAGTCCTTTAGCCTCCTTGTATGATTGTACACGCCATTAATGGATTCATGAAGGTGGAAATGCATCAGGTGTGAAAATGGCTCTTCATTTGGTTGTAAATCCCGTACTTGTTTATAGCCTACAGTGTCTTCAGTAATCTGGGCATATCTTGGGCTCCCAATATCAGATTGATACAATTCAAAGTGTGTTGAAAAGATAAGAGATGGGGGATTAAATGTTAAGAGACTTTAGCACCCAAATATACTTGGAACATGTTCAAAAATGACGATCAATCTGACTGACGTGAACTGTCCAACCAACTCTTCAATTGCCTTTAGTCTTCTTAGCATCCAATGAACCTAGACAAAGTATGTAAAAAAATAATTAGATAGGAATTGAGCTATGATAATTATGAATGCATGCTTACACCTGTGTTAATAATGCAAATGAGATAACTATGAATGCATATGCATTGAATGAGTTATATAAAGATGTGAATTAATAAGTCATGCATGAATATCATATATTATACATATAAATGACAGCATATAATATTCAAGCAAAAATTAAGAATAAGATAAACATATTCACATGACATGTAATGCATAAATGAGTAAATAAATAATAAAATAAGGTAAGACTCCCTTAGAATCAACAAGGCAGAACTTCAAAGTTGTGAGCATGTTTTGTTTGAACTTGTTGGTCGGTAGGATCACATCATCCCCCCCTTCTTTAAGGCGATTTATCCCCAAATCGATGCTTGGTACATAAGGGAACAACTTTGATGTTCTTTTGAATGGAAATTCTTTCATTCTCATCTTGCATCGTTTTCTTTGCTCAAAATGCTTCACATGTTCAAGTCTTTGCTTTTGAATCAACAATCTGAAAAATAGAACAAAGTTAGAAGTAGATAATTTAGAATCAAAGGAAAGGAAAGGATTAAATTCATGAATGAATGAGTTTGGACTCTTAATGTTCTCCATGGTTAGGTTCATTGAATATTCCCTTTTATAAGGTGCATTCGATCTTGAGTATGAGGTGAATGTACTTTGAAGGTTAATGAACATGTTCTTTATAATTTCAAGTGACACATCTTTTGGAATTTCAAAAGATATGATGCTTGAATCATCTTGAATGACCCTTGGAATAACCTGTAAATTCAAAGAATGAATAGAAGAAAAAAATTGATTAGTATAAAGAAAAACTTCCTTCTCCTCGCATTCTTTTCTTTCATGCTCATGTTTTTTAACACACTCATCTTTACTCTCAATGCTCTTACTCTCATTTTCAATTACTCCAATGGCTTTCTCATGAAAAATCACACTCTCATTTTCAACTCCAAATGTCTTGGTTTTCTCACAATGTTCTTCTTTGATTTGTGCATGTTCAACTCCATCATATCTTTTAACCACAACCTCACTTGGACTATTTTCATTTTCTCTTCCACACGTACTTCCCCCTTTGCTCCCAAATTCAATCTTTTCAACTTTCTCATTTTCGACTCCAACGTTTTTCACTTCAATTTTCTCATTTTCATTTTGATCTCCCTCCATTGTTATTTGTTTCTCACGTGAAACTTCTCTTTCAACTTTCTTCATGGCTTTAGCTTTCTTCCATTCCTTTATACGTGATTTGATGATAACTTGGCATTCATGGACTTGATTTGGGCACATTGGAACCAACGCGATCTTTCTCCATCATACAATGCTCGTTTATCAAACTGCCAAGGACGTCCAAGGAGTAGATGGCTTGATTTTCATAGAAATAACATCACATAAAATTTCATCTTCATATCCCCCAATTGAAAATGACACACGTACTTGCTCTATAACTTCTAACTCTTCATCTTCATTTAATCCTTGCAAAACATATGGACTGGGATGTTTGAATGTTATAAGCCCCAACTTCTCAACCATGTATGTGCTTGCAAGATTTGCACAACTACCACCATCAATGGCTACAAGGCATACTTTATCATTCACATGAAAACGAGTATGAAATGGATTCCTCCTTTGTTGTTCGTAATCCATTCGAAAGATAGGAGAATTGTTAGTGAAAAATTAATAGTTGAATAAGTTGAAAGGACCTTACCAATAATCACTCACAAATCCTCACGATCACTCCAAAAAATGATGATGCTCCACTCAATGCTCGTTTTTGCACTCGGGAATATAAACTGGCTTTTTCAATTCCCCTTCTGATCTCACACACTCGATTAGCCTTTTTCCACTCGTTCCTCTCTTGTAAAGTTCTTAAATAGAAAGGTAGAAAGATTAAATAATGAAGGGTGGTCTTAAAAAAGGAATAAAAATAAAGAAAGGTTCACTTACTATGCAAAGATACTCACCACCTTCCTAGAAGAACAATCAAAGGTCTTGAAGACTTCCTTAGGATCGGTTGAAATAATGATGTTGCTTGTCACCTTTGCCACTTCTTTGCATTTTGATTTCTTTGTTTCCTTTCTTTAGTTTTTCTACACTTGGAATCCCTTGTTGATGTTGGGATTAACTTGCTGATTTTTTTTTCTTTTGGCACTTCTCTTTTTGATTCTCTTTTTATTGAATGGTAGGATGTTGTTTTTGCTTGTTCTTGTTGCAATCCACCTTAGCTCTGATTAAAGTTTGGGCTTTTAACATTCAAACATCCCAGTCCATATGTTTTGCAAGGATTAAATGAAGACGAAGAGTTAGAAGTCATGAGCAAGTACATGTGTCATTTTCAATTGGGGGATATGAAGATGAAGTTTTGTGTGATGTTGTTTCTATGAATTCAAGCCATTTACTCCTTGGACGTCCTTGGCAGTTCGATAAACAAGCATTTTATGATGGGTTCTCCAACAAATATTCATTCAAACACCAAGGGAGAAAGATCGTGTTGGTTCCAATGTGCCCAAATCAAGTCCATGAATACCAAGTTATCGTCAAATCACGTATAGAGGGATGGAAGAAAACTAAAGACATGAAGAAAGTCGAAAGAGAAGTTTCACGTGAGAAACAAATAACAGTGGAGGGAGATCAAAATGAAAATGAGAAAATTGATGTGAGAAACGTTGGAGTCGAAAATGAGAAAGTTGAAAAGATTGAATTTGGGAGCAAAGGGGGAAGTACGTGTGGAAGAGAAAATGAAAAGATTCCAAGTGAGGTTGTGGTTAAAAGATATGATGGAGTTGAACATGTACAAATCAAAGAAGAACATTGTGAGAAAACCAAGACATTTGGAGTTGAAAATGAGAGTGTGATTTTTCGTGAGAAAGCCATTGGAGTAATTGAAAATGAGAGTAAGAGCATTGAGAGTGAAGATAAGTGTGTTGAAAAACATGAGCATGAAATAAAAGAATGCGAGGAAAAGGAAGTTTTTCTTTATACTAATCAATTTTTTTCTTCTATTCATTCTTTGAATTTGCAGGTCATTCCAAGGGACATTCAAGATGATTCAAGCATCATATCTTTTGAAATTCCAAAAGATGTGTCAGTTGAAATTATAAAGAACATGTTCATTAACCTTCAAAGTACATCCACCTCATACTCAAGATCGAATGCACCTTATAAAAGGGAAGATTCAATGAACCTAACCATGGAGAACATTAAGAGTCCAAACTCATTCATTCATGAATTTAATCCTTTCCTTTTCTTTGATTCTAAATTATCTACTTCTAACTTTGTTCTATTTTTCAGATTGTTGATTCAAAAGCAAAGACTTGAACATGTGAAGCATTTTGACCAAAGAAAACGATGCAAGATGAGAATGAAAGAATTTCCATTCAAACGAAGATCAAAGTTGTTCCCTTATGTACCAAGCATCGATTTGGTGACAAATCGCCTTAAAGAAGGTGATACGAGTCAGTCCGTCGATTGGGGACCTCTTCGATTGTACCGGATCTAGAACAAAGTAAGCAATTCCTCTATAGCAAAATTAATTGATAGTAATAAAGATGGTGGTGTAATATGGATATGTTTATGAACGAAATTGAATAATGAAGGATGAAGGATAGATGTGGTAATGAAATTTAGGATAGTGGTAATTTGGATATAACAAGGAAAAAGGAAGAACTTATACTATAGGAGTATAAACCCGGACCTTATATGTTCAACGTTCAAGGACTTGGACCCGTTAGATAGCAATCTAAGAACCCTAAGTATCACAAACTTAACACAACAAGAACAGTCTTGAAATGTCAAGAAAATGGTTCTAAGAAGAACCAATTTGAGAGAATAACTCACAAAGATTTTAATTCATAAAAAGTTTTTTTTTAAATACAAAATCTAAGTCCATTTTATAGGATGTAATATGCATGGATGATATAGCTTTGCATGGACGAATATTGCTTCACGTGGCCTTCAATTTACAATTCCTAAACAAACTTCCAAAGGCAAAGTTTCATGCGTATTTTAGGGATTGTTTTCGGGTATATTGGTGAATCATGGTTTCTAGCCGAATTCCTTCCCCACTTGGTGATTCTTGTTTTGTCACGTATGATGCCTTGTTGAAGTTGAAAACATTGGACACGTATTGAGCACAACTTGATGCAAGAATTCTGGTCAAAAAGGATGAGTGAAAGTCATAGCAGAATGTCTAGTGGAGATAAAGACAAAGTGGAGACAACTAGACAAGAAATGCTTTAAACACATGGGTTGTCTTCTTTTGCTATGTGAATAATCTTCAAAACAGCAAGTGCACGTGAAGCTTCCTTAGTGCTAATTGAACTTTATGAATTGTTTATGATGCTACCCCACTTATCCTTGTATGCCGTGTAAAGGAGCTGGAATTGATGACTTTCAAGTTCACGTGAATTGTTGAATAAGTGGATGATCCACTCATACTCCTTTAAGTGATGGAATGTGCTGCCAATGTTTGCCCATATTTTAATGGCCCACTTGACGTGTTTATGGTGGAATTATATTCAAGAATCCAAAAAAACCGTTCATCATGGGACATGAACTTTGTGTTCCCTACAAGTTCCATTAAACACGTATTAGTGTTGTTATAAACAAAAACAAGTGCTGCCGTGCATGTTGGGAAGAGCCTTAGTTCTTTGTTTATTTAAATGGCATGATTATCACGTGAGAATCTCTAGAGGCAAAGGGTGTTCCTACGTGAAAAATGATGGATGACAAATTGCATGCAAATATAAACTACACGTGATATGCTATATGAAATTCAAACATGAACAACATGAGCTTACACGTGAAATGCTATATGACAAAATGAATGCAACATGCTTCAATGCTTAGTACGAAAATAATGATGTGCATGTAAATGAACTATATATATAAAAATTATGTTGAGATGAACTCCACGAATGTATGCATGCAATGCAAATATAACTATATGCATGGAAAGTTCAAACTAAATTATTAACTGTTGATACATTATATAACTTAACGTCGGAGGGTGTCAAGTTATTAAATGAATCAAAAGTCTCAAGGCACTTAGTTAAGAGTACTTCCCTGAATTGTTTGGCCCTTGATCTGGTAATGGGACCTTGAGGCATGACTTCGGGATCTGATGTGGGCGTGATCACATCATCCCCCCTTCTTTAAAGCGATTTGTCCCCAAATCGTCTCCATCCTCAAAGGGTGTTAAGTCTGCAATGTTGAATGAAGCATTAACGCCACCAAACTCACCGGGAAACTCTAGCTTGTATGCATTGTCATTGATCTTTTCCATAATCTGGAATGGACCATCTCCTCGGGGTAATAATTTGGATTTTCTTTGATTTGGAAATCTCTCCTTTCTGAAGTGTACCCAAACCCAATATCCTGCCTCAAAAGTTACCTTTTTCCTTCCTTTGTTCGATTGCTGCTCATATTGTCTAGTTCTTCTTTCAATATTGTCCTTGACTTGTTGATGGAGTTTCTTAACAAATTCTGCCTTGTCCTTTCCATCTCTGTTCAATATTTGATCACAAGATAAAGGAAGTAAGTCCAAAGGAGTTAAAGGATTGAAACCATACACTACCTCAAATGGAGAAAATTTTGTCGCCGAATGTTTGGTTCGATTATATGCAAACTCCACGTGTGGTAGACATTCCTCCCAAGTCTTGATGTTCTTCTTGATTATCAATCTGAGTAACGTTGACAAGACTCTATTGACGACTTCTGTTTGCCCATCCGTTTGAGGATGACAAGTAGTAGAAAAGAGTAGCTTTGTGCCAAGCTTACCCCACAAAGTCCTCCAAAAGTGGCTCAGAAATTTGACATCTCTATCCGAGATAATGGTTCGAGGAAGGCCATGTAACCTCACCACCTCTTTGAAGAATAAGTTTGCAATGTGAATAGCATCATCAGTTTTGTTACAGGGTATAAAATGAGCCATCTTAGAAAATCGGTCAACCACCACATATATCGCATCCTTCCCATTTTTGGTTCGAGGTAAACCTAAAACAAAATCCATAGAGACATCTACCCATGGTATGGTTGGTATTGGCAATGGTTGGTATAGCCCATGAGGCTTGACCTTTGATTTTGCCCTTTTACAAACTAGACACCTTTCACATACCTTTTCAACATACCTCTTCATCTTTGGCCAAAAGAGGTGTTCTTTCAAGATGTTAAGTGTCTTTTCAACGCCAAAGTGTCCTATAAGTCCCCCTTCATGGGCTTCTTTGGTTAACACTTCTCGCATGGAACCTTGCGGAATACAAAGTCTACCTTCCTTGAAAAGATACCCTTCATGCTGATAATATTTTTCGTGAGCCCCTGTTTCACATAACTTATATACCTCTCCAAAGTCCAAGTCAGTAGCATAATGTTCTTTAATAAATGAAAAACCAAGGAGTTTGGAATCCAAAGTGTTAAGTAGCACATACCTGCGTGAAAGAGCATCTGCCACAATATTATCCTTTCCTTTCTTATAACGGATGACATAGGGGAATGATTCAAGAAACTCGACCCATTTGGCATGTCTCTTGTTGAGCTTGTGTTGTCCCTTGATGTGTTTTAACGCTTCATGATCAGTGTGTATCACGAATTCCCTTGGCAATAAGTAGTGCTGCCAAGTCTCTAATGTTCGAATGAGGGCATACATCTCTTTGTCATAGACGGGATAATTCAAGGTTACACCATTCAGCTTCTCGCTAAAGTAAGCGATCGGTTTTCCTTCTTGACTCAAAACAGCACCAATTCCAATCCCGGAGGCGTCACATTCAACTTCAAATGTCTTATCAAAGTTTGGCAAGGCTAATAGGGGAGCCTTTGTCAAATAATCCTTAAGTTCCTTGAAGGCTTCATCTTGTTCTTTGCCCCAACAGAAGTTTGAATTCTTCTTGATAATCCCAGTTAAGGGGGCGACAATTGAACTGAAGTTTGGTACAAACCTTCTGTAAAAACTGGCTAATCCATGAAAGCTTCAAACTTGACTTACGTTGACCGGTTCTGGCCATTCTTGAATTGCCTTAATCTTTTCTGGATCAACTGCTAGTCCCTGTGAACTAACAATAAAACCTAAGAAGGTAACTTGGTTAGTACAAAAAGCACACTTCTTGAGATTAGCATATAAATGCTCTCCTCTTAAAGTGCTTAGAATAATCCTTAAATGTTCAGCATGTTCGCTCAAGGATTTACTGTAAATTAGGATATCATCAAAGTAAACAACGCAAAACTTACCGATGTAAGGCCGAAGGACATGATTCATTAGACGCATAAAAGTACTAGGAGCGTTAGTTAAGCCAAAAGGCATGACTAACCATTCATACAAACCTTGTTTCGTCTTAAATGCGGTTTTCCACTCATCTCCTTCCCTCATCCTAATCTGATGATAGCCGCTTTTCAAATCAATTTTGGAGAAGATGCTGGCTCCACTAAGTTCATCAAGCATATCATCCAATCGAGGTATAGGATGCCTATATTTAATAGTGATCTGGTTTACACCTCTACAATCCACACATTCTCCAAGTTCCATCTTTTTTTGGTACCAACAAAACTAGTACAGCACAAGGGCTTAAACTTTCTCGAATGTATCCTTTGTCCAACAACTCTTTGACTTGTTTCTGTAACTCCTTTGTTTCATTAGGATTACTCCGGTAGGCTGGTCTATTTGGAATGGTAGCTCCAGGGATGAAATCAATTTGATGTTCAATCCCTCTAATTGGTGGTAATCCATCTGGAATTTCTTCAGGAAACACATCTTTAAAATCTTGCAAAAGAGATGTAATAGACATAGGCAAATCAGGGGGAATTTCAGCCAACAAACAATGATCTTTATACAATAAAACGAGTAAAGATTGTTGAGAGGAAAGAAACTTCCTGATTTCTTTTCTGCTTGCATAAACATTTATCTTCTTCTTCCCCTTTGCTTCTTCGCTGTTCTTCTTCAGACGAACTTGATCTTCTTGTACTTGACTTGGCGTCAAAGAGGCTAAAGTGATTTGTTTTCCTGCATTCATGAACGAATACCTATTGGTGAACCAATCATGCATTACCTTCTTGTCAAACTGCCATGGACGTCCCAACAATAAGTGAGTGGCATCCATCGACACAACGTCACACATCACTTCATCCTTGTATTTTCTAATGGAAAATGGGATAAGAACTTGTTTGGTGACCCTTAACTCTCCAGCATCATTTAACCACTGTAGTTTGTATGGGTTAGGGTGCTTTGTCGTCTTCAGACCTAGCTTATCAACCATAACAGTACTTGCAATGTTAGTACAACTACCGCTATCAATAATTACAACACATACCTTGTCATTCACAAGACATCTTGTGTGAAAGATGTTCTCGCGTTGTTGCTCATCTCGGATTGGTTGTGCATTCAAGCTCCTTTTAACCACAAGTGCTTCTCCGGTTGCATAAGTCTGTATTTGATCGTCATCCTCATCATCATCCATCAAAGGGGTGTCTTGCTCATCATTGTCAGATTCGGACTCTATTTCCCCATTCATACGTGTCATCATTGTCCTTCGGTTAGGACACTGACTTGCAATATGCCCTCTACCAAGGCATTTGAAACATTGGATGTCTCTTGTGCGTTCTGTTTGTATCTGTTTCTTTCCACGTCCATTTTCAACAACGAGAGGTTTTGGACTACTCGTCTCCGCTTTTTCCTTAATCTTAAATGGTGCTTGCTTCCTAGCATTGTTAGGAGTAACAGATGGATTAAAGGAAACTTTAGAAGGAGTATTACCTCGGTAAGAAGACTTTCTACGCTGTTGTCTTTCAATTTTGATGGTCATATGCACCATGTCATCCAACTCAACATAATGCTGTAACTCAACAACGTTAGCAATCTCAAAATTCAACCCTGCAAGAAAACGTGCCATAGTTGCTTCTTTGTCTTCCTCCATATTTGCACGCATCATGGCCATTTCCATTTCCTTGAAATAATCTTCAACACTTCGATTTCCCTGTTTCAAGTTTTGTAACTTTTGAAATAAATCACGTTGATAATGAAATGGAACAAACTGTTTCCTCATGATTCGCTTCATTTCTGTCCACGTGTTCACTGGACCTTCTCCGGTTCTTCTTCTACTGATTAGTAATTGATCCTACCAAATGAGAGCGTAATCAACAAACTCCATTGCTGCCAAACGAACCTTCTTTTGTTCTGAGTAATTATAACACTCGAAAACATGCTCATCTTTACTCTCCCATGCCAAATATGCATCAGGATCTGTTCGTCCCTGAAAAGATGGAATCGCCACTTTTATGTTAGCCAAATTATCATCAAGTGTACGACCATGTCTCTGATTGGTTCTTGGAGGTTGATCAATTTCGTTTTCATCATTTATCTCTTCATGATGATGCATTTGGGATTCTCCCTCACTCTTATCCATTCTAGAATGTAGAGCCTCAAGTTCAACCCTTATCATTTTTTGTATCTCACGTGTAATGGCTTGCATTTGCAAATTTGGTGGTTGGTCACCTGGTTGGTTATCACTAGAACCTGTCATATTAAATCAAATAAAACAAAACAACACACAAAGAAAATAATTAGTGTATATAGGACCTTACAATATACACACAAAGATTCTCACAATTTCGCTCCAAAAAATCAGAATTGACACTCAATCGCTCAACACTCGTGTTTCACTCGGGAGAAACTTTTAATGGCTCTTTTCTGTCACCCCTTCTGATCTTACACACTCAATGTGCCTTTTCCACTCATTCCTCGTAGTCAGTTCTTTTACGAACTAAATTCGATCTTTCAAAAATCTGTCAAGTGTGTCGGCTTAAAGGAAACAACAAAGGTTAATGGCAACTGGAAAAATAATGAAAAGGAAGGCTAAAATTCAAAGGAAAATAAAGAAAGAAAAAAAATGAAAGTGATTAGTAAACTTACTACAAAGAAATGCTTACAACAGAACGTCACCAATACAATCAAAGATGTTGCGTTTTGGATTGAATCAAAGCTCAAAGCATTTCTATTTTGAAGAATACAATATCATAGTATTTCTCTTTAGCTCAAAACGAGATTTTTCTTTTCTTTTCTTTTTTTTTTTTGAATTTTCGGATATTTTTTTTTACTTTTCAGGATGAATTTCTTACTTGGTTCGCCTTTGATCAGATACCATATGATACGAGTCAGTCCGTCGATTGGAGACCTCTTCGATTGTACCGGATCTAGAACGAAGTAAGCAATTCCTCTATAGCAAATTTACTTGATAGTAATAAAGATGGTGGTGTAATATGGATATGGTTATGAACGAAATTGAATAATGAAGGATGAAGGATAGATGTGGTAATGAAATTTAGGATAGTGGTAATTTGGATATAACAAGGAACAAGGAAGAACTTATACTATAGGAGTATAAACCCGGACCTTATATGTTCAATGTTCAAGGACTTGGACCCGTTAGATAGCAATCTAAGAACCCTAAGTATCACAAACTTAACACAACAAGAGCAGTCTTGAAATGTCAAGAAAATAGTTCTAAGAAGAACCAATTTGAGAGAATAACTCACAAAGATTTTATTCATAAAAAGTTGTTTTTTTAAAATACAAAATCTAAGTCCATTTTATAGGATGTAATATGCATGGATGATATAGCTTTGCATGGACGAATATTGCTTCACGTGGCCTTCAATTTACAATTCCTAAACAAACTTCCAAAGGCAAAGTTTCATGCGTATTTTAGGGATTGTTTTCGGGCATATTGGTGAATCATGGTTTCTAGCCGAATTCCTTCCCCACTTGGTGATTCTTGTTTTGTCACGTATGATGCCTTGTTGAAGTTGAAAACATTGGACACGTATTGAGCACAACTTGATGCAAGAATTCTGGTCAAAAAGGATGAGTGAAAGTCATAGCCGAATGTCTCGTGGAGATAAAGACAAAGTGGAGACAACTAGACAAGAAATGCTTTAAACACATGGGTTGTCTTCTTTTGCTATGTGAATAATCTTCAAAACAGAAAGTGCACGTGAAGCTTCCTTAGTGCTAATTGAACTTTATGAATTGTTTATGATGCTACCCCACTTATCCTTGTATGCCGTGTAAAGGAGCTGGAATTGATGACTTTCAAGTTCACGTGAATTGTTGAATAAGTGGATGATCCACTCATACTCCTTTAAGTGATGGAATGTGCTGCCAATGTTTGCCCATATTTTAATGGCCCACTTGACGTGTTTATGGTGGAATTATATTCAAGAATCCAAAAAAACCGTTCATCATGGGACATGAACTTTGTGTTCCCTACAAGTTCCATTAAACACGTATTAGTGTTGTTATAAACAAAAACAAGTGCTGCCGTGCATGTTGGGAAGAGCCTTAGTTCTTTGTTTATTTAAATGGCATGATTATCACGTGAGAATCTCTAGAGGCAAAGGGTGTTCCTACGTGAAAAATGATGGATGACAAATTGCATGCAAATATAAACTACACGTGATATGCTATATGAAATTCAAACATGAACAACATGAGCTTACACGTGAAATGCTATATGACAAAATGAATGCAACATGCTTCAATGCTTAGTACGAAAATAATGATGTGCATGTAAATGAACTATATATATAAAAATTATGTTGAGATGAACTCCACGAATGTATGCATGCAATGCAAATATAACTATATGCATGGAAAGTTCAAACTAAATTATTAACTGTCGATACATTATATAACTTAACGTCGGAGGGTGTCAAGTTATTAAATGAATCAAAAGTCTCAAGGCACTTAGTTAAGAGTACTTCCCTGAATTGTTTGGCCCTTGATCTGGTAATGGGACCTTGAGGCATGACTTCGGGATCTGATGTGGGCGTGATCACATCAGAAGGGGGGATGATGTGATCCTACCGACCACCAAGTTCAAACAAAACATGCTCACAACTTTGAAGTTCTTCCATGATGATTATAAGGGAGTCTTGCCTTATTTTATTATTTATTTACTTATTTATGCATTACATGTCATGTGAATATGTTTATCTTATTCTTAATTATGCTTGAATGTTACATGCTATCATTTATATGTATAATATATGATATTCATGCATGAATTATTAATTCACATCTTTATATAACTCATTCAATGCATATGCATTCATAGTTAGCTCATTTGCATTATTAACATATGTGGAAGCATGCATTCATATTTATCATAGCTCAATTCCTATCTAATTATTTGTTTACATACTTTGTCTAGGGTCATTGGATGCTAAGAAGACTAAAGGCAATTGAAGAGTTGGTTGGACAGTTCATGTCAGTCAGATTGATCTACATTTTTGAACATGTTACAAGCATCTTTGGGTGATGAAGTATTCTTAACATTTAATCCCCTATCTTGTAGATTTCCAACGCATTTTGAATCACATCAAGTCGATATCGGGAGCTTGAGATATGCCCAGATTACTAAAGACAGTGCAGGCTGGAAATTAATACGGGATTTGCAACCATTCATCTCCTTCAAAGGACTTATGCATGGGAGGAATTAATGAAGACATGCATGGACGAGAAAAAAATATTAAAATGAATTAGAACATTTGTGAGGAGGTGCAAGGATTCATTAAAAGGCTTTTAAATTCATCCATTCATACATATTCATGCAAGAAGCCAAATAGTCATGTTCACACAAGGGGGAAGAATTTCAGCCAAGATACATTCATGAACATTCATCCATAGAAGACAAATCAACAAGTTCATACAAGGTGTGATGAATTCGGCCAAAGGATGTATTCCATTAAAAGATGAACATCCATTCATCAAAATTCATTCACCTAAGCCATGCTTTGTATCTACTTAAAGTATGAACACTCATCCATGAAGGTTCACTCATTAAATGTTTTGTATTCACACCATGCACTCTTAGGCCTATAAATAGATTTCCATTCATTTGTAAAAGAAACCAATTTACTTTGTTTAATCAAATATTTGTGAGAGTTTCTCTCTTTAGTTCTTAAGTGAACTTTATCGACTTATCAAGCTTATGCTTGTGGCGTCACCCCTATCTATGTCATCCTGATACTTCTGGTTCCTATCTCTTTATAGATAGTGGGTCAAAGTTCTTGTTTACCATCCCTTAAAGAAGCAATATAAAGTCTGGGTCTTTGTTCTTTAACATTGATTCTTCTTTGAGTCTTCTTTGAGATACTACTTTTCATATTCATTTCCATCACCTTCATTCTACTTCCATTACCATACTTCATCATTTCCTTTAAACATATCACCAACTTATATATATTTTCCGCTGTCATATTTATCTTTCCATTTCATTACTTCCATTTAACCATTTTTTTAGCTTTCTTGTTTGTACAGGATACTTGTTGCTTTCCTAGATCGAAACAATCAAAGGTACAACCTTGACTTCACCATCCATCCAAGTGAGGCTAGGTTGAACTGTATCACATTTTCTTTCCTATCATTTCCTTTCTTCTTTCATATTCCATTTTAATCATTTCTTTCTTTTAATTTTGTGCATATTACTTATTGATTCAAGTGTGGCATTTGGTGTCTCTCCTAGATAGGGAAACAACGAGGTTGTCAACTTCTCCATTATTGAAGAAGCCTGGTTAGCCTTACATCACATTTGTATTCAGACCTTTTTGATTAATACAAGTGAGATTATTCTCTTTCTTAAGTCCTGGTGACTTTTATCGACTTATCAAGTATTTTTAATACTTGTGGCATCAACCCCTTCCCCTTGATACTTCTGGTTCCTAGTTCTTATAACTAGTGTGTCAAAGTCCTTCATACCACCCCTTAAAGAAGTAATATAAAGTATGGGTCTTTTCTCTCTATAGCATTTGTTCTTCTTTGAGCCTTCTTTAAGATACTATACTCACAACCATCGCTTTGTTTCATTAACCATAACCCATAGCCATATCAATCATTTTCCGCTTCCATCTCTCATTTATTAAATAGCCCACCTATTCACCCTTA